ACCATGAAATGTGAAACCATGTGTTGTTTTTTTTTAATCCATTTCATAACGAACAGTTAAAAGTGCCCGTCACCAGCTGTTGCTGGAAAGCTGTCAGTTCATTTTTAAATAGAGATGTCAAAGGTCTGCAAACCTGTTATTGAACAAGACTGAAAAGCATATGACTATGAACAACTGAAAAACACTGAGGTGATGGGGTTAGGTGCAGGGACACATGATTTTAGACAACCTTTTGGCTTGCCATGTGCTTTGAAACTCAGTCCTCTGGAGCTTTCAAGGCTCTACTGTTACACCAGTCATAGATAAATTCAGGACCACAAAGCATACCTCAGGCCTCTCTGCTAGAGGGGCTCCTAATGAATTAAGAATGGGAATGTCAGTGCAAAAATGAAAACTTATGCTGTACATCTCTAGAGGTAAAAGCAGACCTAAGTCTAATGTCAAATGCAACACACCACTGCTCTAATAAGACACTCTCTGAATAGAACGCATCCATTAAAAGACCATCAAGTTACTGCAACGTACATAGACATTAAAACTCTTATCCACTCTGACCAAAAATACAGGCCTTTACTGTTTAAATGTTTTTTTCCTATGACAATGTGAGTTTACTTTTAATAACATCATTGACAATCTAACTCTCTGATGTGGCTACTCTAAAGCAGACAGCTGCATTTACGTAGAAGTTTTCCGTGCGCCAATATATGGCACAGGAAGCAAAAAATCTCTGCATGGTTTAGAAATCTCATGCCACAAACTATTGTGCTTGGGCAAAAAGAGTGCTAAACATCCAGCCTGATGTAAAGAAAAAAATGTTGAAAAGATCTTCTTCAAATGAGTAACAAATAATACTGTGTGCAATCATTAACAGAAATCAAGGCTAAGTTTCCCCCACCTGCTAATTTAGCAATGGCATCAAAGGCTCATTAATGCAGGCAGCGAGGAGCATATGTTCCCTTCTACAGCAGGGGAAAAAAAAATACGAAAGAGACAAATGCATGAAATGCTGAAACAAATTGTAACATCTCATGCCACTGGTATCACGCGGACAAGCTAATAAAGCAAAACCGCAGTGAGGTGTGGCTAAGCCGGGTGTCAGCTGGGGGCCCTTCTGCTCAGTCCTTGCATTTGTGCCGTGTCCTTTCTGCAGCGCTCACGCGTGGGCCGACATGCGGAATAGGGACGACGGCATTACGCTGTCACTTGCCCTCTCCAAAAAGAGCCAATAAATCACACTGGTCACCGGCTGTCCTCAAATACTGACTTCCATTTATATGGTGAGCATATGGAGGTGCAGACATCTGCTGGGACACCGGTTGCTAACGTGGTGTTTTGTTTTTTTTTGCCAATAGGTCACTCTATGCATCTAAATTCTCATAGGAAAGGTATTCAGAGGATTGAAGAAGTACCTTTTTTTGTTTTTCTGTGGATGGCTTGGTTGGTTTTCCATTTGTGTTGGAGGTTTATTTTGGCATGCGTGTGATTTTTATATATACATAGGTTAGCAATCCAGAGCTTGTATCACTTACTAGGAATGTTCAGCAACCATTGTGAACTACTGAGGTATTTCTTGCTTTCTGATCAACCAGTCTTACTGAAACACATAAATTTAAGTAGCCCGTCTTTAAATATACAACCTCACACATAAATTTAAGTAGCCCATCTTTAAATATACAAACCCATCTTATGACCAAACACAACACAAAGCTCTTCAAAAAAGTAATGTAGTCCAAAGCATGCTTAAATCATGAAAACTCCAGCACTTAATGAGTGCAGAACCCACCAGATTATCCAAAAGGCTAACTGGACAGCCATGAAGAGTGCACAGATTAGGAAATGCACTGCCAAGAGATGGCAGGTAAAAGTAATAAACTATGCTGGTGTTATCAGTATCTTGCACATTCTCGACGTCTCCGAAGGCGCAGCAGGATATTTCCTGTGCAGAGTGATGGATGACTACATGAGAGCCGTGCAGAAGGGATGCTGTTACAGATGCCGTCACAAAGACCTTGGTTGCTGAGTTTAAACTGCGGGAATTCAGGACATTTGGTCTTGAACTCTCTTGTTCAAATCAAAGCGTGCAAGCTGAAAAGGCAGTGATCGCGCATCTGTAAAACCTTCTTCTCTGTGTGGACTGCTCTTAACTGTCCCCCCGTGCAAGGGAAGGGCTAGATGAGCTGAGAAAACCAATTCAGCAGAAACCCAAAAGCAAAACATCTTTCCAATTAAAAAAAAAAAAAAGGGAGTTGATGGAGGTGTCCATCTATTGGCAGCTCTGACCCTGAACCCCCCATTTTTAATGCTGTTTTCTTCATGTGGTTGATAGTGCCAGCAATAATCATTGCTACTGTCTTTCTCCAGTCAGCTTTGCAGGATCAGGGGCTGTACTAGTCATATCCCCAGGCATGGATCTCTCCCACGGCAAGAATTTAAAGGAGAAAAAATAATGAAGAGCAAAATACCATCATACGTAAGTTTTAGAAGGAAAATATGGGTGGCTCTGTAAAACTGATGATACTTTAATCTTTCTCATGTGATGAAGGCAAGATGACTATAAAAGACAGAAACAAAAGACGGTGTACTGCAAATCTGTACTTAAATAAAAAGCAGAGAGCAAGCAGTTGCATACCTGGACACAAACCCTAAGTAAGGCAATGAAACATAGCTACACCACAATTGCTATTTTCAGATTATTTGTTTCTAGGAAAGCATAAGAAAGAGTTAAAACCCATTTGACAAAATCCTGCATAACCGGAGAACTGTAAGGATCCTTCTGTAAAAACATCAAAACCATCCCACTACTAGAAGAGCATACGTTTTTAAAAGTTGCATTAGGCAATGAAAAGAATACGTCCTTTTCCCTTCAGCAGGCCTATTTATATGCCTAAAATTAAACACATGCCTAATAATTAAGCATGATTAGGTTCCAATTACTTCGTTTGTGCTTCTTTAGAGCTTCTTTCATTTCATTCTAGCTGCATCAAAATGTGAAAACCGGAGCTGTGAATGGCTGAGATTGACTGCCATCGGTTTCAGACACATTTCAGCCCACCCTGAAAAATGTAAGCTTCCTGTCATACGCTGTCAGTAAAACTCATGTCTTCCAAACAACAGTTCTGAGAACAGAGCTTACATGACACCTTTAGATTTTACATTTTGTTTGACATCTACCATTTGTGAGAAATGGCATTTTATATCCACTTTCCATCCTGTCTGTCCCCATCACCACCACCACCACCAAACATAATTGCTTTTACTATAAATATCTGACAGTGCTAGTGAAAGTAATATAGAGTAAGATTTAGAAAGCTCTTTTTGACTGCCTAATAGATTTGTTATATAAGTGCAAATCTTCTTCTACTGTTAGTGTTAAGTAGTTTCTTTCCTACAAAAAAAAAAAAAAAAAAAGAGGAATAAATCATCTTTCACAAGTGGATAGCACAGACTGAGCAGGGAAAAAAATAACTCTTGTACTTAAAGTACATTCAAGAAGTCAGCTTATCATCAGGCTGCACGCGACATATTTGCAAGTTTTATCTCTGAGATTTAATATTAATGTCCTTTTTATTAATTTTTTATTTGAACCTATACTAAATTTGGCAGGTAGAGTACATCCACTAAACAAGAGGAAGAAGAATCAGGTTTGCCCAGGTAAACCCTACTATTTTCTGACTCAAACATTCATTAAAGCAGGAAATAACTGACATGATGCATCAGCTGCTGTGGAAAACTACTCCTGATGAATGTTCAATTTACTGAGTGAATCTTAAAACTATTCCAGAGCTGCCAATAGTAACTGAATGGCAAGCATTGACAAAAGAAAGGAAAAATCAATCGATCTATAACGACATAATCAGAAGTAAATCTTTTATTAAAAAGAAAATGAGCAAATCAAACAGATGTTCACTTTAAAAGATAAACATTCCAACAGTTATAATTTATAGGTATAATTCAAATTATGTGTGTTATTCAGAGTACCAAAGAGCTTCCAAATTAAAATCACAGGAATATCTTCCTATAAAAATCAATGTGGTTATATTAAACTGGAAAGGAGGATCTACGTGTGTTTGTTTATTTATTTATTTATTTATTTTTTATTATTATTATTTTTAAACCAAAAGCCTTTTTCTCAGTTTTCTTTATCTACTTCTTTCATAGTGGAGAAGACATGGGATTCAGGATGGCTGTTCACAAGCTGCCAATAGTTACTTCTTTGTGCTTTTGCAAAAGTTCACCTATGTACAACATATCTTGCTAAACTCAGTGAAGAACAGGATCTCAGCCCAAAGGGCCCACCTTACCCCCAAGTTCGTGAGAAACTGTGAAGTCCCGAAGCAGCAGCAGGACTGATGTGTATCTGGTGATTTCTCACGTGATTACGCAAAAGCGTACGGAGGAGGAAACACAATTTCACAATCGCTGTCGAAGTTCAGGAATAGCTGACAGCAACCGCAGCCCATGCTTAGAGCAGTACCCCGAAGTGGAAATGAGCCCCCAGAGAGGCAGAGCAAATGTGGAAACGTGGGGACTCATCCTCTCCCCTCACTCCCCAAGGGGCAGCCGGGTCCCTTTTCCTTAGAGAAGGGCAGGAGGGCCTCCAGGACCCCCCTTTTCACTCCAGCCCTTACTCCCAGCCTGGCATCCACTCCTGCTCCCCCGCTCTACCCCAGGACCATCCAGTCCAGCCCAGCGAATTACTGGAGGAGCCAGCCTGAACGTGATGGTAGCTTGCCACTGGAGCTCACGGGACAGCTTGTACCTCTCAGAGCTGCCACTTCCTAACATCAAGAAGTAATTAGTCTAAGTTGACTTCCATCACAGAGCGAACAGTTTACCAACAGTTACTACATAGTATTATGTTAGAAATTGTACATGCTCACTGCTCTGGAGAGATGCCTAAGGCATTAACTCTCAGTAGTACTTTCAGTGGGGATGTATATGAGGGCATGTACGCCTGGCAGTAAGGGATTGCACAATGATTTCCATAAACAGAATCTTACGCATAGAGTTTTCCATCCTGGTGAACTCAAGTTTTCCACGTTTGGTCTCAGATAGAAGCAGAATTGCTCTAAATACTTTGGGAACTGCTCCCATCTCAAATCCATCACCTAGGAGAGAAACAGGAGCCTGATTTCACCATGTTTGTTCTCTTCCAAGATTTACTTCAGCATGTTGGTACTTTCTCCATTTTTATCTTTATCTTCTGGTTCTTCATTTCAGAAAATATTCACTGAGGCAGGGTTTACTCTGTTTCCAGAAATACGTAAGACTCATGACATAAGGTTGAAAGGCACCAAGCAAAGGAAAGTATCAGTCACGCACATCAACTGAAGTCTTCCTTTTACAATCTGACATTATCTACCTAGGCTGAAATACAACCTGTGTTTCCTTCTATACATTGGAAAGCAAAACAAAAGCTCAAACATGCACATTAAATAGCTATCAAGAGGAAAATCCATACTGTGCAAGTGACAAGTTTCTCTAACAAAAGCATCTACAACAGCAAAATGCAGGAAATGCCAGGCCCTTCCTTCAAATATCTACAGAAAAGGTTAAGGAATACAAAAGGAAATTAAAAAATAATAATAATAAAAAAAGGAAAAAAGAAAAGGGAAGAAATATTAGCACAGAACAGCACATGCTAAGAGTGCAAAGTGTGTTAATTAGTATATTGTAATGACTTCTGACAGCTTCACTTAATGCCTTTTCATCATCATACTGTTTCAATTACGCATTCTCCACTTCACGCATTAAAACCAGCTTCACTATTATTTTTCACCTGCTGCTTCGGTATTAGGTTTGAGCATTTACGTCTTTCAAGAAAATCATTTTATTTTCCAGAAGTTAATCACTGATTCCCTCAGTAAACACTAGGGAAAAAAATTCCTGCGCTCTGTGAAAGCATAAAAGGAAAACAAAGGGAATGTTATAATGTGGGATGCTCTGTTACCTCCAGTGCCCTGTGATCCGCCATGCTTCACAAAGCCCTTGGTTAGGAGCCAGTCATGCAGCTCGGGGTTGGAGCACGTTAGTGCAGAAACCTGAAAGCTGGACGAACTTTCCCTGAATATTGAAAGAATGATGAAGCGGCCTGGCTGTTTTAAGCCATTAGCTCAGCTATTAAACATGAAAATAAGCATTAAAACAAACGACCGAAAGTTTGATCGACTCGCAATATAAATTAAAAGGCAAAGCTAGCTATTCCATTACTAATGACCTGCTGGGGAAATATGTACCTTCCTTTTTCCTTAAGCTCATGCCTTGAAGAACTTACAAATAAGGGAATCCAGAATGAATTGATAAATGGGTCTAAGCCTCTCCAGTATTTTAACATGCTGGATTATTTCCTATTCCCACTGAAACGGGGCATAATGAAGACCAACAGAGCACCTTGCTCCTCTCCTTGAAAGACCAAGCAGCACTGCCACTATGACCAAGGCAAGCAGTGCCTGCCGGGGGCAGAATGTGAACACATTCAATGAGCACAGCTCCCGGCAGATCACTCTAGCTGCTCACAGAAGCGGGCTCTGACAAGAGACCTGAGACGTAATGAATGGGTCTCCTCCTACGCATGCCTCTGAGCTCACTCTAGGGAGAGGCAGCAAGGGGAGGACTACGATTGCCTCCGGGAAACAATCTTTCCCATCCCAAACTTCATGGGACACACCCTATTCTCCAGTCATGGTATGGGTGGAAGATTTTTTTCCATGCACTCACAGATCGCTCTGTTCCAACAAGTTTGGTACATTCTCCCTCCAATCCACTCCGGAAAGCTGCCAAGAACTTGCAAAGCAAGTTGAGATTTTCAGCAGAGCTCTAGAGGTACCCAGAGCCTTGCAGGATCTGGTGGTCAGAAAACCACCACAGGCGGAGAAGTGTTACACAGGGCAAATAATTTGAATCATTTAATGATAGTTTACCATTCTGCAATTATACCCATACTTGGAACCACTTCACCACTCATTTTATAAAACAATCACATAATAAGAAAACTCTGACACAGAGCCACAAAACAAACTCCTTCAAGTTTTCATGCAGCAACTCATTGCCCAGTTACTTCTCTTCCTTCTACATCTTGCTGAATTTAAATACTGAAATAGCACGGAGGCAATGATTTGGCCTGAATTCCAAATCTGGTCAAAGTTCTAAATTCATCTTCTTCTCTACCCTCTTCCCCCACAGCATAATGCTTTAAGCCCTTAATTAAAGTTTTTATGGCTATGGTGACACTCCCAGGACATAAAACTGTATACATGGCGTTTTAAGAGCAATATCTTTCATCAGGCAATGCACTGCATTTAGAAGTAGCAGCAACCTTTTTATTCATTTATTTATTTATTTATTTTGAGAGGCATTTTAATGTTGGTAACGATGATTGATTCTGGACTGAGCTTTCAGATCCAGGCACCTTCTAAACGACAGGCTTCATGGTGCCCTTTTTTTTAACCTAAAGAATTATTTAGCGGTCAAATCTTCCCAGGTGCCTAGCACCCACACACTTGTTCCACAGTCTCTCTGAAAAGGCATCTAGTAAGATCCTAAATCAGCACCGGAGCGCTTAGAATTAGTATGTACTAACAGATTTAGGCAATAAAGTTTTAAGCTACGGAAGCTTATTATTTCCATCTTTAAAATCTATTCATGTAAGTGCAGCCACCTTCTAATTCAGAGCAGAAGATTTGAGATTTAAATGTAGGTTTCCTTCAAGTGAATTTAACACAAAAAGTGACAGGAACTGGAATATGGCTCTTTTGTGATTCGAAGAAAAAGAAATGAAAGAATAGAAGCAGCAAACAAATTACAAGACCTGTCAACCTTGTTAGATATTGTGTTGGGAGCAGGAGGGATGAATAGAGACTTCCCACTTCTATGCCTATCACAAACAAATGAAAATATATGCATGGTTTTGAATAAGGTATTTAGGAAATGACAGATAACTCTTGGGAAGGCAAGTTTGCCTTCCTGCTGAGAAAATAACATATCTCAATAACACTACTTTCTTTCAAATTCCTCAGGACATAGGGCAATTTTAATTTATTTTGACTGCTTATTCCGTGTTGACAATCTGAATTGGTAACCTCTTATATTCTACTGTAGGAAGCAGTCTTAAATGTGACAGCTCAATCTGTAAAGAAAAAATACTTTCAAAATTATACATCTCTTAACAAACCATCTTCTCCCAGCTATTCCAGCCTTAATTCCAGCATTCAAGCTTTGTGTTTGTTTTTCGCCACAAGGAGGGCATTTCATTCCAGAATGTTATCCTTTCCGTAATTTTAGAATTACACAGAGTAACCATGTGTCTGGGTAACCCCAGAAAAAAATGAGACAAAAAAAAAAAAAGGCAAATTATTTGAATGACAGAAATAGCTATGCTCCATAAAGATCTGTGCTCATTTACGTATGTGAAAAATTCCTTCTGTAAAGATTTTCCTTACTGGAAGAACATGATCATATGCTATATGAATATATGTAATTTTAGTGCTATCTACAATATCAAAATAATTTACTCAGCACATTTAACTCTACAGCAACAAACTTCACATAAAGGGTACAAGGTAGAGAAAGAAAACCAATCTCTGCTTGCATAACTAAGGATCATCACTGCCACAACCTAAGCCACTGTTTTAAATTTCACAAGAAATTCTGCAAACTATATTAAACTCCTTAAAAGGATTTCCAAGCCAAAATTTTCCACCCCCACTTTGTTCAGGTGCCTGAAGCGACGTAAGAGGGGAAATTGAAATTTCTTGGTCTTAGACGTTCCAAACAACACGCACCATTCCTCTCGACGAAGAGGCTTTTTATTTTTGAATTTCTCCATTCCTTTCTCTAAGTAGAAAAAGCGTACCCTACTATTTGCTCACTATTGTCAAGTAATCTGAAAAGTATAGGAATGTAAAATTAAAGCTCTAACAAAACTGACATAAGCTTCAAAAATCATTCCACATCATTTGAAGTTTCCTGCTTCACTAAGTTTTATTGTTCTCCAGTTTAGTTAATCTTCTGATATGTTGAGGTCATTGTTCCATGTATTTTTGAGGTTTATACTTATGCAGGAATGTAGGAATGGTTGTGTAGGTAACTCTGAAATCAATCCCATTAGAAAAAAAAAAAAAAAAAAAAAAGAGTAGATGCCAAGACTTCTCCCTTACAAAGATAAAATGTAAATGCTCCACAGAAAGTGAAAACAGCTCCTCAGGGAATTGTCAGGAACTGGGCAAAAGAGCAATGCAAACGTTTGCTAGTCAAGTAGAAACTTGAAGAAAGAAAACTGGGAGTGCTTGTGAGAGCAGAGCAGCATTGCCAGCATGGTGTGGTAATAGAGAAAGCCTATGCCTGGTTCACTGACCTTGCATGTTGATGTAATGTCAATAGGAAAGAGGAAAATAAAGAAAGAAAAGGAAATAGATAAAAATCTGTACATATAAAGTGTATCCCTTTTATTCCTAAGTTTTTAGTGCATTCCATGAGTCTTCAGAAACATCAGGATAAGCCAGCTACTAATGAAGGGCAAAGTGCTGTCAGTTTTCAAGCTGACTTGACTGAGTTTAGCAAGGACGTGAGGGAGAAACAGAGTTTAACAACACTTCTCGCTGCTCCTAAAAAGAGAGCTACCTCAATAGGAACCATAATTTAACCTTCTTCCCTTTGGAAAGCTTTTCTCAAGAAAACACATTAAAGTGAAGAAGGAAAACCATTTGCTCTTCTCTTTATCAGTTTATTAGTTAAGATTGAATTCTCCATACATTACAAATATGTTCAGAATGCAGATCCTAATAAATGAAGTATGACTGATATTCAGGAAAAAACAAACAAACAAACAGTAGGATGCATCACTGATCCACCTCAATTCCCTTTACATTTTTAAATTTTAATATCATTTAACAAAATATGAAAATGTTAAAGAGTGTTCATCTGGAAGAGGAAAACAGAAGGATAAATGTATCACAGTCTCTTTAATCCAAATATTTTCTTTAAAATAAATTCAATTTTCAAGCTTCATTTGCAATCTCATTTGCACAGAGTTGCCAAAATGATTAGCCCAAATGAACTCCCTAAACATGAAGGTGAAATCTCCCAGACAGTGATACAGCAGGAGATTAGA